TTTCCCCCCCCCCCCCCTGATCATTGAAGATTCTTTTAGTTCCTTTCAATTCTTAAGGATCATTCAAAACTATCAAATACAAAATGCTTTTCCTCGTCAAGTGGGAGATCCATATGCCAGCTTAAGTATATATATATGTGTGTGTGTGTGTGTGTAATATATATATATCTTCTTTTGACATCTCTGAGTGTCCAGCCAAGTGATGCCCTACGTTTTCTACAATTAATTTCGTTTTAAATGCTTGGAGTTAAGTTTGAATTTGGAATTAAGTTGGCTAATTTGGATAAGTAGATTTTTGAGTTTTGGGATGAGAACGTCTAAAATCCATAAAGTTGAAAGTTCAATTTTCCTTGGGTTCTTATTTTGGAAACTGAATTAAACCCAAAGATATTTACACAGAGTTTTGTCAAATGATCATTCAGTATTTTCTGCTTCCAAAGGGTTAGCTCCTCCTCCTCTTGGGTCTTATTAGATTAGGAAGGATGGTAATGTGTGAAATGTTGATTGCGATAATCTTTGGTGGTTTCCAAAATGTTAGCTCATAATAATGGGAAGGATATTACAACGGTACTTGAAACTCATCTCAAACCCAATATTATGGTTAACCTGCTTTTTGCTAACAAGACCTTGATTAAATTTACTGATGATAAAGTTGCTAATTTTTTAGTTATACCTAGAAAGTGGGAGGCTTAGTGGGAATTTCATTTAAAGTTGGAAAAATAGTCTTGAAGGTTTCAGACTCATCAAGGTTCAAGGGAAGGTTATGGTGGATGGATTTTGATTAAGAATTTACTTTTGGATTATTGGTGTTTGTGGTCCTTTGAAGAAATTGGCGACTATTTTGGGGGTTTAGAGAGTATTTCTTATGATAATCACAAATAGAGGCGTGGATTCAAGCTAAGCGTAATCTTTGCAGATTTATGTCGGGTACAATAGAACTTAAGGATAAGTGTAGGGGGAATATTTTTATTCATTTAGGAGAAACAGTTGCTTTGGACCCCACTATTATTCATAGAGATCTTGAATTAAATAATTTCTCTAATCCAATTGATCTGTTTAATATTAAATAGGTTATGGAAGATGAAAGGTTTGAGTTCCATCTTCAAAGCCTTGAAGTTGATTATATTTCAAGGATTCAAAAAATTCATCCTATTTCAAGAGATCCATAGCCACTTTGTAACGTTTGTCTTCTGCAAATGAACACTGTTTCTCCAAACACTTCTCGACCAATTGAAATGACGGTTGGTATTTCTTCAAGAGAAGCTTTTAGCGTTCTTTCATCAAATCAGCAGATTAACGATAATGTTAGTTTGTTTATTGATGTTTCATTGATTGAGAGTTCGAGTTTGATCGGTGTGAACAGTGGTGGAGGAGTTCAAGAGGTCAAACTTAATGAGAAAGAGAGTGGGAATTAATTACATGTAGTCTGTATGATAAGGAGGCTCAAGTTAACAATGCTGACTGTTCCACAACATATTAAATGTGTCTAAAGATTTTATTACGCAGCTTGGGAATTTGGGAGATACTAATGAGGTTTTGACTGATTTTAATGCTTCAGATAATACTGCCCCTTTGGAAAAGGTTCTGGATTCTTCATTGGCCCACAATATTGAAGGCTCAACACTTATTCTTGCCAAGTATTTGGGCCCTTTGTTTCCATCCAGCATTAAAAAAGTAAGAACAAAATTGCAAGTCCTATCCGAATAATTATACTCGAGAAAAATGTCCAGGCTCTTTAGAAGATCATTCCCCTATCAATGCTGATGTTCTGGAAGAATATATTTCCGAAGTTTAGACTCTCAAAAGATTAATTCTATGCAAACAAAGCCTGAAGTGTTTAATAGTAAGTGTATTGTCACTAAATGTAATAGTGGACAAGAGGAAGTTTCCTTTACGAAAGTTTTACTGCCTCCTAGCAAAACTACTACAGAATCAAAGGAGGATTTTTTTTGGGTCATACTGAAATTTGGACATTGATTCAGAGGTAAGTCTTAGTAGTGATGAGCCTATTATTCCGAACTTTGTCTAATAGTTTGATTGAAGATCCTCTTGCAAATTGTAATGATGTTGATTTGGGTTTTCTTTTTACTTCACAACAAAAACAGATTCATAGTGTAGGTGGATTTTCAGCAGCTTGTTTCAGATTCGGCATACAATTTGGAAAACTTTTCATCACTTATTAAAGCCTGTGGGTTGCAATTTAAGGAAAATGTGTCTTTAACACCAGTACTAATGCGATAACTCAAAAGCAGTTGTGGGGTTTTGTTTAGAGTTTTATGTTCCTCAGGAATTTTGTCTTGGAACACTAGGGATTGGGGGATGCAACTAAACGTGTGAAGTTGAAAAAACTTTTACAAAATTTTAGTCCTCATATGGTACTTTTTTAATCAACTGGAAGATCAGGGGGTATGTTAATTTTGAGGGATGAAAATAGAGTTGATGTGCTAGAAGTATTGAAGGGTGGTTAGTCGCTCATGGTCAAAGCCTCTTTTTTCAGCAAGGAAAAGCTGGTTGGATTTCAAATACTAATGGACCAAATGATTTAGAGAAAGAAAACTTCTTTGGAGTGAATAAGATCACTTTCTTACTATTATTGTGAGGATCCATGGCATGTGGGAGGTGATTTAATTCACTTGTTGGGTCCATTAGCGTCATCCTACAAGAAGGTAGACTAACAGAGTGAAGATTTTTAATAAGATCATTGACTGGTTTGATGGAAATTCCCCTTTCTAATGGAAAATTCACATGGTACCAATCAGACGAAGAGAATAAGCTCTTATTAATTGACCACTCCCTTTATAAATAAAGAATGGCATGATCTTTTTTATATTTGAAGAGTTAAAAGAAAGGTTCTTACTTTTTCTGATCATTTTCAGATTTTTATAGAAGCTGGTGGTTTTCTTTGGGACCCTAACCGTTTTTTTCTTTTTTTTTTTTTTCCTTGGAACTCTTGGGTTGCATATGAAAGATTGTGTTGAAATTATTGAAAAGTCCCTTTCTGAAGATAGATCTTACGACTGGGCTGGATTTGTGATTTCTGCCAAGCTAAGAATGTAATATCTAGGTCAAAAAATGGTATGCTGATTTGAAGTTTCAAGAAAATGAAATGAGAAGCAAATGCTAGAGGAAATAGAGCGCCAAAGCTGAGAATGATTCCCTTTCTTTAGAAGATCTGTCTGCTGTCAAAGGTATAATGGAAAGTTATTTGGCTGAGGAAAGAAATTTGACTCAAAAGTGTAAAGTACAAGGCTTTGAGAAGTGGATGAAAACTCAAGATTCTTCATGGATTTTTAGCAGCAAAGAAATGTAAATAATTAATTTCTGAACATTCTTCAGTCAACAATCAAAGTTTCCTGTTGTTTAGGGAAATCGAAGCTGAGGTTTTGGATTTCTTTTCTTCTTTGTGTACTAATAGACTGGTTAAGCACTTTCTTCCCTCCAATTGTCATTTGGACGTCGCTGATTAATCCATTCTCTTTGGATGAGATTTGGCTAGCTATCAAAAGTTTGGGAAAGAATAAAGCTCCGGACCCGATGGGTTCACCACTGAATTTTTGTTAGGAAACCATTTTGTTTCAGAGAATTTCATCATAGGCACGCTAATTTGGTTTTGAAGGACAACTTCATTTTCCTTATCTAAAAGAAAGAGATATTTTCTTTGGCCAAGGATTTTGGGCCCATCAGTTTGACATCTTCCGTCTATAAGATTCTTACTGAAGTCTTAGTAGAAGGATTAAAAAGAGTTCATATTTTGACGGTAAACGAGGTCGTGGAGGATTATAGATTCAAGAAGAAAAAGGGTTGGATTTTAAAATTGGATGTCGGAAAGGCCTTCAACAATGTAGATTGGAATATTCTTGAAGAAGTGGTATTCAAGGCAAAGTGGATTCAGTGGACTAATGGCTATGTGAGGAATTCTGTTTTCATTAACAAGCCTAGAGGTCATATTTTAGCTTCATGAGGAATCCGATAAGGAGACCCTCTTTACCCTTTCTTGAAAACCAAGAGCCTCAACATCTACAAAGCCTTACATTTGACCCTTGACCATTTATTCCCAAGGCCTCGAACTGTGCATTTCCCTCAATCATTTGTACACAAGGTGCACCTTCCTTCTTTATGGTTCAATCATAGAAACTCCACAGTTAAGCGTGTTTGGGTTAGAGCAATTTTATGTCAAGTGACCTCCTAGAAATTTTCCTAAATAGACATGTGAGTGAGAAGAATGCATGCTGAAAGGACTTGTATTGGTGGGTGGGAGCAATTTTTTATTTATTACATGTGTCTACTATTGAAGCAAAATACCGTCACCCTTCATGTGGCCAAGTGATGCAAGGGAATGTCGAAGAAATTAGGCATCAATCCAAATTTTAAACCTTGGACCTAGGGTATTACAAGTAAAACTGTGTGCACCCTAAATATTTTCACAAGATAACAGCCAACCTACTACATATGGTTGCAAGGGAGCAAACCATGTAAATGTGATAATGCAGGTCACAAATTGCTAAAGACAAGACATGTTCTTCTTAATAACCCTATAAGAGTTGTGTGCTTTTTGTAGATCATTTTTCTAGATTATCATTGCCCTACACTCCATCTTAAAGACCAAATTTATGCTATTTTTCTTCATTTTTTTTATTTTTACATATATGATTCATTATCCAATTCAACACCGCGATCAATTCTGTTGGCCTTGCATCAAAATTGATTTCAAAAACCTGAACTCTCGTCAAGATTGACCCAAAAACCCTAAAACCACACCCACACCCACATCTAGATCATTCTAAAATGTATCGCTTGCACCTTTCAAATATCCATAAAATAGTTCTATGTTTTATAGAACTATATCCTTAGTCTTCTTCTTTACATACAACAAAACCTAAGGTTTCTTATTGAGTTCAACCAAACCTTTTGATCTATTCTGAAAATCTAGAAGATCACCACCCTTTATTGGAAAGAGAGGCTTTAGTTAAAGGAATGATTCTCAGTAATGGAGTTTTTTCTAGTTTTGGATTACAAAAACTGAAAAGAGGCTTGATTACCATCCGTGATTATTTCTCCCATTAAAATAGGGAATAACACCAAAAAAAAAATTCTCTGAGCCCAACTCCTTCACTGACTAAAAGCTAGTATTCAATTAAAACTACACAAAAAATAAAATCAACAGGGAGAAAAAAGAAAGAGAAGGTTGTAGTTACGTGGAGCGTGCTTTCTCCCATGGTCGTTCATCAATGGACTCTTCCCATATGACACGATCTCCCAAGCATTGGTGGCAGGTCACTATTCCCTGGCAACATGAGGTAAAGGTAAAAAGTCAATTAGAATCTGGCAGAACAACCAACATTTCCATGCTATATGACTATTTCCAAATCTAGATGAATGTGCTAACACTGGGTGAAACAGTTTTGACAAGTATTTCAGGTCCTTCAAATCATCTGACAGCCATCTGTTACCGTATAAGTCAATCAGGCATTATCAACTCAGTTCAAAAGGTTTGTATCCTTGGGGACCTCCATTTTACGTATTAAGCTCCAACACTCAGCATGAGAACAGAAGAAGTTAAACTAATGGTTTGTTTGGGAGTTCTTTGAAAATAACAGAATTTTACCGAAGTACTATGATTATTGAAGTATTTAATGATAAACCAGAGTCATATTTTGTTATATGTTCCTAAAGGCGCTTTTAAATACTTCCCAAACATTTAGTTGTGATAAAAGCACTTTTATCATCAAGTAAGTGGTTATGATTTTTAATATAACAATTATAAATCATTTCTAACACGATGATATTAATCCCTTTTGTAAATTTCAATCATCAATGAAATTGTCTCTAAAAAATTTTAAAAAGAAATGTATATATGTATATATATATATATATATGTATATATGTATATATGTATATATGTATATATATATGTATATATGTATATATATATGTATATATGTATATATATATGTATATATGTATATGTATATATGTATATATATACAGTTATTGATTTATGGTGATTCTAAGTGGGAAGTACTATGAGAAAAATATACTATGAATCAACAACATAGTTAGAATTGGAATTGAAGATGGAGGAGCCAACATGGTCAATTGGTCTGATAGAGATATACCTTTCCATTACACACGGAACAGTCTGCACGGGATCTTTCAATTCCACATTCCGTACACGGCGCATAGCCCCTGCCTCGGCAACTTGGACAAGGTAGCTCTCTAATATACTGACCATTTGGGCCAAACCAGGACCTGGGTTCAGGAGCGCTGGAATTTGAATTCCTGAAATGCAAAATTAATTTCGAAGTTTGATTTCAAATCAATGTAGAACTGACAGCAACCACAGAAAAAATCAGCATAAAATCTCCTCAAATCACAAGAATTAAAACCGAATAATCAAGAAAAATCGTCGACGTAGAACTCACAGCAATCGAAGAAAAATTCAGCATAAAATCTACTTAAAATCACAAGAATTAAAGCTCAACGTAACTGAAGATTAGATACTAAACCTTGGTTTTAAATCGACGCCAAGTCCGTACATCTCCTCCACAGGATCGAAGGCGAGCTGCGATCCAAAATGAAAACAAGTAAGAAATAAACAAAAAGACGATTAGAGGTCGACTTCCAAAACAAACTTTTTGAGAGAGTGAATACCGGCACCGGTTTGGGGATTGCAACAGAGTCGTCATTACTGCTCAAACAAGCAACGAAGCGAGGCGCGAAGCCTACACATCTCTTGGATTGAAGCAATATGAAGAATCTCAAGTTCGTCCGCCGCCAACACTGCGGTGCCAATGCCCGAATTGACGAACAGAGTGGTGAGGACATCGTATAAATCTATAGAAGTAGGAATGTGTTTCATTACATGGCAAGAATTGAAGAAGAGAAAATGGCAGCACTACCAACGAACACAGCGCGAACTGAAGAACGAAAATGGAAGCACCGTAAGGAAGATTTTGGGTTTGATTTTGTATGTGTGATCAGCAGGGCCACACGCCATTTATCTTTATACGTCGTGGTTCGAACAACTGCGACATTATTATTATTATTATTATTATTATTATTATTATTATTATTATTATTATTATTATTATTATTATTTTACCTTACAATTACTCACGTGAGATGCACGAGCGACATTATTTTATTTATTATTTTGGGTTTTTTTTTTATTATTGTTAGATTGACTCAACCATCCCGAAAACAGATGTACAATTCAACTATACCTTACCTTACTTTTAAAATTATTATGAAATTTAAAAATATTTAATGTATTTGATTTTAGTAATACTGTATAACTTATGAATATTTGATATTTGACCTAAAAATAAAATTGATTTGCACGGTGGAACCTCTTTCCTCCTCCCTTTTCTGCTCGTTCGTACGGTCTTAACCCCTACAAAGGGAGAGGGAGTCCACTGAACATCTCAGCCATTGGTGGGCGAACGGTCTTAACCCTTACAAAGGGAGAGGGAGTCCACTGAACATCTCAGCCATTGGTGGGCGAACGGTCTTAACCCTTACAAAGGGAGAGGGAGTCCACTGAACATCTCAGCCATTGGCGGAAATTTCGCCCACATCTGATCCCTAATTCTTGTTCACCATCGATGATCGTGTTGGGTGAATTGTGACCTCGTACGATCTTGTCGGATGGGCAAGAGTCGCTTCGTCATAGTATAGGCTAACAGGTCACACTTTGGCCAAGTATCCTACAAAGAGACTCCCGAGAGCGAAAAGGGTTAAAGGAATGGCCATAGGAATGGGCGCATCATGACATCTTACAATGCCTCGCCCAAATGAATTAGTTGTGTAATGTCCAACCTCTAACGATTTAAAAGAATTAAGAAATTAACAACCTAATAAAACAACACATTTGAGATCTATTGAAAATATCATTAATTAAAAAAAGAACACGAGTTTACAAACCACTGTGACTAAAACAAAATATCATGTCTAAGAAATTTCCTTATCTTACGAACATCAAGGCATGCCTAATAAACTTTGTAGTCTTCTTTCTCTTTCGCGTTATCGTTGTCAACCAGTGTCTCAGGTTCCATCGATAATAAAAAGAGAAGTACGAGTATACACTCGTTAAGTTGCTCACTTATGATCTAATAAGAAAATGATCTTAACATAACGTTTGCGTACATATTATTTGAGTCCCGCTAAACTTAATAAACTTACCAAAGATCCCTCTAAATTCATTCTAGATTAAAATAACACTCGCATAAGCACGTTCAATTGTCACGTGATCGGTAAGTGAGATGAGACTACCATTTTATGTACTCCGGTTACCTCACTTTCACCCCCTAGCTCGATACATGTTAGAGTATTCTTCCATATCGAGCATACTCATATGAAATTCATGAATTGGTAAACTCTTTACTTAACCCTCATCATTGAGTTCTTCTCGATTTAGTATCCACATGACGACCAACTCTCTAAAGCTTGATTTTTTTGCGTTCAGGAGTCATAGGGTGTTCTGACTAACGCTTTATTTACTATGTTTCTCTAATTATGCTTTATCGTATACTCTCTTAACTCATCATTTAAGACTCGCTTCAACCATCTACGACTCATCTACTAGACTCTTTGGTTTCCTAAAGACAGTGGGCATACTCATGGCCCTAACTTAGCATTCGACACATCGGTCAAGTTGTTCTACGAGGCCTAGTAGACGACATGGTTATGCTCTATATGACCTCTTAAACTTCGGACGGATACTACCCACATGTGGACCCCTACTTCTTAGGGTAGGTTCATAATTAAAGTACCTATCGACCCTCTAATAGTCCCCACATTGTACTCTCATCATTCGGGGCATGGTCTCGTATCATTATCATATAGTAAATCATTATTCATCCCTGCATAGCAGAGAACACGTCACATAAGAAATAAGCATAATTTAAGAGAAACACAATATCGTAGCTAACCAAGAAACCCCGACACACTTATATTTCAGACTTAGTCACCCAAACACTAACAAACCTTCACATTCATCTCCTAAGCTTCAAGCTTATGTATATCTTTTATACTTGTTGTACTCTTACGTGGGTTTAATACACTATACAACACGGGTTTAGTTTGGCTCGGTTTACGTGGGTTTAATACTTATAAACTTTTATACTTGAGAGCTATCAAGGAGGATCAAATTTTACACCATGGGTTGTTTTAAAGGGACCTTTCCCTTTGAATCAGAAAGAAAACACAAAAAAATATACGTGGTAACGCCGGGACTGTAAACTCCACGACAATTAAAATTTTATATTGATAGTATGTATGTTTATAGAGAATTTAAAGAGTACATCTTCAAACACTCCCTGAGAAAATACATGGCCCTTATGCTCGCGCCCCTCCTACCCTCGTGTGCGTCCCTCACATACTCCGCCCACATATCCCCCACAAACCCTTGCACGTCACCGCAGGCCCCATGCTAGCACTTCAGTTCTAAGAGTGTAGGGAACCGTACTTCCATTAGTTCCTTTGAGTTTTTATCTGAAGATGATCAGTCTGATTCCAATATCCTGCCTTCCAAACAGTCAATCAAACAATATTGGCCGTTATTCCATAGATGGCATAGAGCTCTTACACAGCCCCTAATGAACTCCTGTTATTTTGAGATCATATCTAGTATTCAGAATTTAACTTGATTTGGTACCGCTCTCGCAGCCCGCACCGTACTTTACCTCTAGATGTCCCGCCGTCATTAATTATAATCTATTTTTTTTAAAATATAATCATAAAAAGAAAAAAAAAACATGAAATGGTTATAGAAAATCAAAATATTCTCTCAAAAAGATGAATTTGGCCCTTTTCTTGAGTGGGAAATAATTGCAAAATGATTCTTCTATTTATAATTGGTTGGCTACTACCTTTTATATCAACCTAAATTTGTCTGTATTATATCAATTCCGGTTGAATACCCGAAAATATCCCTAAGTAACCATATTGTTAGAACCGAGAAATGCAAACACATACAAGCATGTTATCGGACACCATACGAATGGTTCATGGGTTTTTAGAACTGGTCACTCATGTACAGATTGAGTAGCTAGTGTCTCTATGTGTCGACTAGAATCGAGTTATATGATCTTAATTTAAGATAAGTCACAAATGAGTAATCCCATATGTTGCATGCATATTTGACTGAGTATTTTAATACTCGGACGTTTTTTAATATGATTTTCAAATAAGGGCAAAATCGTCAATGTATTAACAATACTCTTCATTTCATTTATGTATATGGGAGCTTAGAAAGTGACTGTTATTTCCAAATAAAAGTTTTGATATTAATTTGATTTTTTTTTTATATAAATGTCCCTTCAATGTCTTCAAAAGGTACCTTGGCATATTTTAAAATTCAACGTATAATAATTAGTAATTGGCGGAAAATTGAGTTACAATAAATTTAATAGATAAAACATCAATTATCATTTCGATAATGATTTAATATTTTTAATTAAATTACAATTTTAATCTTAAAAATATTTCATTTATACGTAATAAATAAATTTTATATTTTGACTCGACCATACTTGATTAATAATTAATTAAAACATAAAAGGACATTAAATTCACGTGAAACACATGCAGCACAGACATGTGAGCCAAATTGAGTGTCGGTTAATTACAAATTAGGGCAGCTTGGGTTTCTTTTTTTATTTTCTTATTATTTATAAATTTGGTTTAAAGAATTTTTGGAGGTTTCTTGATTCTGGAATGTTCTATTTTAGTCTCAACACAAACAAACTTCATAATTATTTTGGTTTTTAAATATGCTATTTATTTTCTCATTATTTTTTTTAATCCTAATTTCACCATTTCAAGAAATTATTTGAATTATTAACATAAAAAAATTATTATTAAATTTTAAATTTTGATTTATATTTTATTATTTATACCAATAAAACGTCTGAAAAAAATAAAACGTGTTTTTTTTGGGAGGAAAATTAGTGAGTGATGACAAAATATGTTGAAAAGACTAATAATTCATGTAAGTGAAAACAAAACATGCTGACAGAGCTCGTGATACATGTGAATAAGGATAAAATATGGTAGAAGGACTCGTGTTGGTTTTAGAGACAGTTGAGTAACTGTGTTGCAAGAAATGTAAGGGAGTACGAATCCCGATTCTGAATACTGGGTTGTTACCGTTTTATTTATTTATTTATTGAAATTTAACTAAAATATTTTAAAGAAGAAAATAAAAATAACACAATTTTTTAAAAATGAAGACCAAATGATTAAAAAGAAAACTAATTAATGGGAAAGTTGGAACCAAAATGGAATATATTTTATTTAAATATTAATTAAAAAAAGGAATATAAATCTAAACTTAATTATGAATTGAAGTCTGTAGTTACGCAGCCCTCCACCTACCGTCGTTGTTCCTCACCCATTTCTCAAACCTCAAACGCTCAACGAACCTTACTTCCGATCTCGCGATTCAGATGGCTCTCTCTCACGCAGCTTCCCGATCCAATCTTCTCAAGCCGCTCGTTTCCGGTTTCTCGTACTCTTCATCTCTCCGCCGCTCGATCTCGTCCGCCGCCGATAACTCTTCCTCGCTCACCATCGAGACATCTGTCCCCTTCACCGCTCACAAGTGCGATGAGCCGTCGCGTTCTGTCGAGACCAATCCCAAGGAGCTTCTTGGATTCTTCCGAGACATGGCGCTGATGCGGCGGATGGAAATCGCCGCTGACTCTCTCTATAAGGCTAAGTTGATCCGTGGATTTTGTCATCTCTATGATGGTCAGGAAGCCGTCGCTGTAGGAATGGAGGCTGCGATTACGAAGAAGGATGCGATTATTACTGCTTATCGTGATCACTGTACCTTCCTTGGTCGTGGAGGAACGCTTCTGGAGATTTTTGCGGAGTTAATGGGTCGCCAGGCTGGGTGCTCGAGGGGGAAAGGTGGTTCTATGCATTTCTATAAGAAGGACGCTTGCTTCTATGGTGGACATGGTATTGTTGGGGCTCAGGTGCCTCTTGGATGTGGAGTAGCCTTTGCGCAGAAGTATTCCAAGGATGAGACTGTAACTTTTGCTCTGTATGGTGATGGCGCGGCGAATCAGGGTCAGTTGTTCGAGGCGCTTAATATCTCTGCGCTTTGGGATCTGCCTGTTATTCTCGTCTGCGAGAACAACCATTGTAAGAATTTAGGAAAAATTCAACGTCCAATTCTATTCGCTTTACTATTTGTCATAATCTTGTTTGATTTAATTTGATTGTGGTTGTGATTCTCTTTAGATGGTATGGGGACTGCAGAGTGGAGAGCAGCGAAGAGTCCAGCTTATTATAAACGTGGGGACTACGTTCCTGGATTGAAAGTGAGGCTTCTCTATCCGCATATTTTAATGGCTGAATAATTGTTATTGACGCTGGTTTTCTCAAATTTTCTTATTCTCGTTATAAATTTTGCTTCTGTAAGAAATGTTGTGGTAGTTTGTGTGATTCTTGGCGTAGTTAGCGAAAATAATTTGGGTAGATAATATACAAAGTCACTCATATGAACGCGAACCATGAATATGAGGTTCAAAGTTGCTATATGTTCTTTGCTATTTTATTGCTTTCACATGGTTTACTCCGAAGACTTCTCTGCCATTTCCTTGATCAGCTGGGTACGTGATGTTGTAAGTTGCAATTGAAAAGTGGCTTAAGACTTAACACATGTATCTGGGCTAGAGTTTGAGGTTGTGGTTGTGTCAGTGACACTTTTATGGTTTTCACCAGCAATATTATCAAATTTCTGCCCATTCATCGAAAGAGATTTCAAACGATGAGGTGAAAAGAATGGCTATGTTTATCCAAATTGCAACTAAACGAGTTGTCATTCTATGTTGGCTAAGACCTGCAGTTTTCAAGTAATGCCTACCTAGAGGTCGTGTGTTAGATTATTTTCATGAGGTTAATAAGGAAACCCCTTAAAGTCTCCAAAGTGTGGGGCTTGAAGTGGGTGTGGATTTTTTCGAAACAAACAGTGTTGACAATCATGTCAATGGAAACTTGAGCCAACGTGAGCAAAGTGAGGTTAAGGCATCTCGACTTCTCCAAAGAGGTCGTAATCTCCACCCCTGCCCATGATGATTTTTAAAATATCATGTCAATGGAAACTTGAAGGCATTTTGATAAACTTACGATATTGGGACTACCATTGAAGTACTAGCTTAGACAATTGGATATTTAGATAATTCCAGGGATGGTGTAAACATCTTTTTCATGGTAGTGTGTCGTATGGTGAAGAGATAACGAACATACTCAAATATTGAGAATATCACCGTAGTTTTATGCTTTTACGGCAACTTTGTGTCATCTATATATATATGTGTGTGTGAGTGTGTATATATATATATCACACACACGGAAGTGTGTGATGGGCTCTTAAAGTTTCTTTGAGGCACTGTATGTGGCAGGGCACACCACTAGTGCTGGATGGTTATCCATGGCAAGCACCTTCCCCCAAACATTGCCTTATGTGTTTTTTGCAGGTGATTGAAGAAGTCCAACCTACAGTTTCTTATAGCATGTTTGACTAAAATATCTTCTGAGTCATTAATCTCTTAAAAACAATGGATGCCATCAAAGTATTTTGACAAGTAAAAATATATGCATCCGAATTATATATATCTAAAATATCCTCTCCGTTGTTGTGTGTATATGTATAAATTGATGAAGTACAAAAAGGGTTGCTTGAGATCAAGATCCAACCAACACAAAACTCGGAAGCTACCAAAAAGAAGAAAAGAAAACATAATGTGACTATTCTATGGATAATAGCCCAAATGTGAAGATTTTGTATGGAGGTTTGGTAGCTTCCAAGTTTTGTCACATTTGTTGCTTCAAATAGAGTTTTCTCATTTTCAATTGGAATTCAATGTTTTTAGTTTTTTTTCAATGTAATTGTTGCTTCGTTGTGGATGGGGAGGTTTGGAAGCTTTTCAGATTTAATGCTTCTTTGTGGGCATCGATCACTCGACCTTTTGGAATTATGGTCCTGGCTTCGTTCTTTTGGATTGGAGTCAGGTTGAGCTCCCTATTATTTCGAGCTTGTTTTTTGTACGTCCTTTTATTCTTTCATTTGTTCATACATATACATGTATATTTTTTCTTTAAAACAGAATTTGCATGTTCCTTCCTCTCATGTAACCAAAGATGGAGGTGTGTTGATAGTTAATCTGGGCATGGTGTCAGTACTACACAGAATTCTGTGTATAAACTAATACCCTTCTTGTGCTGCTGCTGATGATTTCATTAGAGTTTTTGTCACTATTCTTTGTCTTTTTTACTGCCTTCTATGTTCATATCTTGGTTATTTTCTGTTTGTGGTAGTGCTCATTTTGCAATCTTATTGAACTTCGTTTGAACATCACAAACTGGATTCACTCTGGAGTTCCCTTGAAAGTTTGGGGATCCCCAAATGATACCCTCCAATGTCATATGTCTTGTTTCCTTATGGCTTCTTGTTTGGATGTTGTTTCCTTGCATACTTGGGTTGTCAGGGAAAAAAAAAAGCCCAAAAAAGGAAAGGAACTTATGATCATTATTTTTTGGGGTTATAGGTGGATGGTATGGATGCTCTAGCTGTCAAACAGGCTTGCAAGTTTGCAAAGGAACATGCTTTGAAGAATGGACCAATTGTGAGTTTCCTCTCTATTAAATGTATCATGGTTGCTAAGGGGAACATGTTTTGAAGAATGGACCAAGTTTGTTAAGGAACATGTTTTAAAGAATGGACCTTGTTGTTTGGTACATGATGGTTTAGCCTCATTGGGAGGGCTTACTCCCCGATCCCTAAGCTTATCCCAATAAAAGGCACATTATTCTTCCCTTCTAGTAAATGTAAATATATTTATGTTTTCTCTTTGGTTCTTGTCAGATCCTTGAAATGGACACCTATAGGTATCATGGTCACTCTATGTCTGATCCTGGTAGCACATACCGAACACGTGATGAGATCTCTGGTGTTAGACAGGTTTGCTTCTTTTAAATATTCATCATTTCCTGAATAGCATTTCACTATATGTTTTTTTTTTTTTTTTTTCTAGAATCAGATTCTGATTTTTGAATGTTTTCATTATGATTTAATACCAGGAACGTGATCCCATTGAAAGAATAAGAAAACTGATAATATCCTATGATCTGGCAACTGAAAAGGAGCTAAAGGTATATTGTTGGACTTGGTTCTGGATGCTAACTTTTTTCGTTTGCAATTTGGAATATAATTGATTGGTGGAAAAATTAGTTATCATGTTGTCTCCTACCTTGACCGATCAAGTGCTTCACTTGCAGTGCATCATTTTGTTCAGTGGATTGGTCTGTTAGACCGAGATCTTTGAACCTTTTTGACAACTAAACTTTTTTTTTCTTTCGTTCATTAGGACATTGAGAAGGAAGTCAGAAAGGAAGTCGATGAAGCTATTGCTCAAGCTAAGGTGAGCAGCATGTAGTCAAATAAATTAATAGATCGAATTGTGTTTGTGCATAACCAAATTTATGGAATACCTTCATATTTATGAACTAATCTCTAGGAAACATTTTTCATGTTGTCTTTACTAAGAGAAAATACGAATAATAGTTGTTTGCGCCATGTTTCAGGAAAATCCGTTGCCAGATCCTTCCGAACTCTTCACAAATGTGTATGTGAAAGGTTTTGGAACTGAGGTATTTTTCATTTCCTTTGTCTTAACTGTTCCATTGTAAATATTAATTGAACTCGAGCATAAATGCTAAATCAGAGTATCAGTATGAAATTCACGCGTGAAATGAAATGATGGCTAATCCGTAAAATATCGTTCGTTATTCTTAACACAACTCTTTTCTAGAGCAAAGGAAATAGAAGTAGGAACGGTGTGTTAAATGCCATCTTGTTCTTAATTCTACAAATATTTTACTCGACGTTCACTTGTTTTCTTTTTGTCAATGTTCACCCACTTGATTCGAGGGAAAATTGTGGTTAAAAGTTGTTTTTCTATGTCAAACTGAGTACTGTCAAGGGTGCCTTTAGAAGTCCCGTAGAAGTCTCCATGATTCTATTAACATCTGCATGGAATGATTTGTGTTCATGAGTTGATAAAAGAACGTTATAGTTTTAAGTAATTCTGTACTTCTAGTTGTCTTATCGCCTTAATTTCCACTGCAGTCATTTGGAGCAGATAGGAAAGAGCTGAGAGCGGTACTTCCCTGATTTATTTGTATCAAGTGTTCGAGAGGCCTGCTTGGGACCTCCAAACTCCCCCAAAATCCATCAGAAGCAAAAATGGATAATAAGGAGGTTTGATTGAAGTGATGTTTCCCTTCACGGCTGTAAGTTTGGTTACCACTAAATTTTCATGTAGATTATGAATATATTTTGTTTGTTTGTTTGTCCCTTTCATTCAGTGATTCGACCTCGAGATATTTAACCCTTAAATGTTGGTATATTCATTCGTAACTGTGAAATATGCTGCTTGCATGAGCATTCACAATAAAGAGGAAGCATCTTATGGGATCACTTCCTATATATTACCCTAAAGTTGGGATTCCTCAACGAAATTACTTTTTTGGTTTGAGTTGGGTTGTTTGAGATTGTTTGTTAGAAACTTGATATAAATATTTGATTAGCTCGATTCAAATACAGAAGGTAACAGTTCTCGTAACACATATATATGTCATTACTTATCTTTCATTGTTAGAACTATGGTGAAATAGATGACTGAACCCTTAGCATTTGTGTTGATAAATAAATTCTATTCATTGAATTAACTGCAGATTTGGTGGCTTCTTGAATGGTAAGTTTTATAAGAAGTGATTATATGATTTTAATGAAATTGATTTGTTTAGAAGTGAGTGATTTATGAAAAGGGATTATGATGTTTGGTTGTAATTTTTTTTTAATAGGCAAATGATATCTTTCTTATTGTTAGTCCTCCTAAAGTTTCTTTCGTTAGTAAAAAAGGAAAGGATTTTAGAATGTGTAAATGAAGGTTTATGTTGGGAACCACTTGATTTATACATAAGCTTAGAGTGAACTTGAACAACCAAGTCCTTTGACATCGAGCAAGGGTCAATGGATGCGAACAATAAAATCTCTTGGGATTGAACTTAAACAATAAAAATACTCTGAATCTTGATCAATCTCCCCTGGTTAAATGTGGACTTACACATTCAAATCTCCCTCATCTGAACCAAGTAAACCTAAGTTTGGTTGGTTGGTTGGTTGGGCAATAAGTCCCTCGTATAATACTCGTGTGATACTCCACTGGAGGCGCAATAGGTCACTCATTCATTATAAGACACTCCACTGTAGGTGCAATAGGTCACTCATTCATTATAGGACACTCCACTGTAGACGCAACAGGTCACTCATTAATTATAAGACGCTCTACTGTAGGCACAATAAGTCACTTCATTGTAGGTGCATGGTAGGACAAGTGATGTTCATGGATATTTTCATTACAAGTAAGTTGATTTTTCTTGAGTTTTTCATAATTATGTTAGAGTCAAAAGTTTGTCTTTATGGTAAGGACCATAGTTCTTTAATGAAGAACTAATGAATTTTTTTTTGTGATTCAACCCTAAACTAAATTTCCCTTGAATTTCTCTTAAGGGGAGAGTGGAGTCCTTTGTTTAAGTCTCGAATCAACCATGGAGAACTACTCATCTATTTATTTTATATGAGAATGAATGAATTATATTTTGTGAAATAATGTATCTTTCTCTATTTGGTCAAGTTTCTAAAGTTTCTAAAGTATTAGGTATATTGAATCGGCTATAAAAAAATCATTTTGATTTATCTAAAGCAAAGGACAAGCCCTTGTAGATAGGAGTTCATAACGCACTTAAAATTAGTAATTCGCATATAATCATTTCGTCAAATATTAATATTCTCAATTAATAGATTTGCAAAGATAGATTAAATATTGCATGGTTAAGTCTTATTCAAACTCACAATATAATGTACTCCTACTTGTATGTCTCTACATGAACGAGTGAATTGTATCAATGGTGTTATCAAGACGGGATAGTTGACATTATTCATGGACTATACCCCTTTAAATTATTATTTGAATACGATCATAATGAATATCAACTCCATAGTAAATCTTAAATATAATTAATGGTATTAAGTTATAAATAAAATAATTAAAAATATGACGGCCCCTTGTAGGTGTAATTGCCACCTCGGTACCTTTCTTCCTTCTTTTCTTCCGATCAACACCCATGGTCGTCACAAGCCTCACCGCCAGATCGTACCGCCGCTATGACCAACGTTTCATGCCGTAGGCGTCTACAACCTGCCACATTGAGAGCAATCGCATGCGAGTGCCGCCACGAGCTTCACTACTCATTGACGCTACTGCCCATGCCAGTTCGCACCTCACCACTTGCCGCTACAGCTACTCATCTACTTATCTTATAGGGTGAGACCCTGTTATTCAATTCTCAAAATCAACTTAAGAGAAATACTCATCACTTATCTTATATAGAAAATAGTAAATTTCACAGATTCGAATTAAATCATTTGCAACATAGTCCTTATCAATAACGTTATACATAGTATACACAACACGTAACCTTCGATTTTACATAAATTAGTTCATATAAATATATCACCCTCCAAGACTCTTACGAATATGAGCGATCTCACATTCGCTAATTTCAAAAGACTTCTTCAACACTTCTTCAGGGATTTCAGGTTTAGAGCCGAACGCCGCCAACGCCACCAATTGGGCGCCAGGGTTCTGGCTATTCAGCCCTGAAACCGCAACGGCCGAGTTCTTCCCATCTTCATTGTACATGAAATGAACCAATCCCTTCGGAAAAACAAACGACTCTCCTGGCCCTAATTTCTTCGTAAACACCCGATTCGAAGTGTCCACAAACCCCACAACCATTCGCCCAATCAAGCAAATCGTCACTTCCGAGGCTCTCGGGTGCGAGTGGAGCGGCACAATCCCTCTGGCTCCGATGTCGATTCGAGCCAATGTCAAGCCCAATGTGTTGATTCCAGGTAAATTTTGGGTGTTTGTTAGTGTAACGCTGAATCCGAATAGGTTTTTGGTGTTTCCAGGGAGGGATAGAGCCGATGTTGTGAAATGTTGTGTATTAGCTAAATTAGGGTTTATGCAAGGAATGCCATTGAAGAAAGAAGATGTGGAGGCTTTCGGGTCGGCTACGCAGTAATCTTGAAGCGGGTCGGGATCGGAACGAGCGATATCGAATTCCGAAGCTAAAGATAGAATTATTAGTAATGAGAGAAGCAGAGATGATGGAGTTGCCATTGGAGTAAGGGATTAGAGGTTAGATGTTGAGTTATGGTGGGGAATGGGAGAAATATTATAGTTTATATATATAGATATATAGATATATATATAGATGGCGGGGGCGGTTTTGAGTAGCTTAAGAGCAATGAGGGAGGGGAAGTAGTGAAGGCAAGCTAAAAGTAAAGGTGGATTAAGCCAAGTTAGCACTTCTAATTGATTGTTTTCAATCTTTTCAAGTGTATTATTAGCATTCTTTCGTGGTCTCATCATCCAAGCAACCATTTTTTAGTCTCTTTTTTCTTGCTTTAGAGATTAGTTTCATGAAGTTATTTATTATGTTTTCGATTTGGCTCGAATATTGCTATACGTACATATGTATTATCTTCCTCTAGGGATTAATGGTATGTTCATTACTTTAGTGCCTAAGAAGACTAGTCTAGAGAGGTTTGAAGATTCTTGTAACCGCCCAAGAACACTAGAACACTGTTAGCGGATATTGTCCTCTTTGAGTTTTTCCTTCAAGGCTTTTAAAAACGCATATGATAGGGAGAGTTTTCCACACCCTTATAAAAAATGGTTTGTTATCCTCTCCAATCGATGTGGGGTCTCACAATTTTCGTTTATCTTGTTTATCTCTGGTTGTAATATCATTTGCAAGGGTTAACGAAGATTTTGAAAAATAGGTTGGCTATGGCGTCCTAAGGTTACTGGTCCTGATCAATCAACTTTTGTGCAGGGGAGAAGTATGGTGGATAATATTCTACTTTTCCAAGAGTTGGTATGTTGAACAATACCGTATGGGTCGTGGTCCTCCTCATTCTATGTTCAAGGTGGACTTGCAAAGGGCATATGATTCTGTGAGTTGGAGTTTCATTTTTTGCCTGGTTTTGGCCATTGGAACTCCAATTCAGTTTGTTAGATATATTAGGACTTATATTATGTCCTTTATGTTCTCCACTTAAACTATTGGATCTCTTTAGGACTCTTTCTCGATAGGCGATATCTTCATTTGGGTGATTCTCCTCCTTATTTGATGTAATGGTTATGGAAGCTCTTGGATAATATACCTTGTGAAAACAACATACTTAGGTTTTGTAGATGACTTGATGAGAAGACTTGATGAGTTTTAGTCATTTCGATTATGATTATGATTATGATTGTGAGATCATGCGTCGGTTGAAGAGGGGAACTAAGCATTTTTCATGAAGGTGCGGAAACCTCTCCCCAGCAAAAGCGTTTTAAAAACCTTGAGAGAAAGTCCAAAAAGGACAATATCTACTAGCGATGGCTTGCGCCATTACAATGATTCTCTGAGTTCTGTCTTAGAATGCTCGTAGAAATTTGAGACTTTGTCTGGGTTGTACGCGAATCCTAGTAAGAGTGTTTTTTTCTATGTGAGTTTGTGTAATAATGATACCTTGATTTTGGTAGATGTGCTGCTATCTTTGTCTCCCTCTCATGACTGGCCTATCATGACCATAAGCTCTTACTACGATGTACTACTACCCATGTGTTGGTACGTGCAAGCGAGTCCTATCCTGCATTGGTAGGTTACATCTCATTCGGTTTGTTCTTCAGAGCTTCCCAAGTGTTTTCGTTCTCCCGACTTGTGTTGTCAATAAGGTTGACTGAGCTCTGTGTGACGGGCTCTAAGGAAGCTTGAGAGGATATCTTCCTTCATAAACATTAAACATTAATGTTTGAGAGGATATATATTATATAATTAATGTTAACCAAATTCATATTATGACATAGTCCCAAATGCATATTTTAATATTATAACATAGTTTTTTACTCTCCAAATATATATATTTGTGTATTTGTTGAAAATATATTTATATTAAGCAAAGCTTGGGATAAATATATTCCTCACCCCATTTGGGCAGGAGAAATGAACATTTCTATATAAAACTAAACTCGGTTAGTGAAATTCAAAAACAATATTAAAAACTAATATACAAAAAAGATATATAATATTAAAATATTTGGGTTTAGAGATATATTAGGAAAATGTAGACCCATAGATTAAAAAAAGTGACTGAACTATCATAACTAGCGAAAGATCAGGATAAGTGAAATAAACTACAATCATCATCTTAAGCCCAAGGAGGGGGAGGAGTAACTATCTGCTCCATTCAAAGTCACCCGACTCACCCCCATATCTGGGATTGGCGTTATTTACTCGGCTGCTATCTTCAGGCCTCATCATGGTGTTCGCAATCGTATGCCAGCCCATGAGGTGCGGCAAGATAAACTGCAACTCAATGAATTCAACCCTATCACAAACCCAACCTTAAACATCCA